GGGCTTACCGTCACCACTCCACCCTGCCCCAGCCTTATCCGCTGGTCAGCCACATCGACATCCACGTATCGGACGTAGGACACACGAGTGTTGCTCCCCCTGTGCTCGTTGGCTGCTTCCACGTTGAAGTAGGGCAGGGAGCTGTTGCTCTCACACAGCTTGGAGAGGGTGTAGGTGCAGGTGCCCATGAAGTTGTGGAGTTGCTTGTCAAATGTGTGGTAGTGAGGGTCTCCATGTATACTGCAAATTGCTTCTGGAGACAGGAAAAGGGAATATGTTCTCATTAACACATGGATACATAGAGAAAGCCCACTTCATTTTGTACTGGGAAAACACAATCATCCGGATTGTATAGATTACATCTAGAAGAACTGAAACAGAAAGGCAGATTTGTAAGGCATATGGCAGTGTCAAAGAGAGATACCTATAGAAATTAACTGAAGCAAAGTGGTGGTGGTAAAAAATGCAGGTGTCCTACAAACCATTAACTAGCATATGAGGTTGTCTAAAATTACCTGTCACTGGTGGTGGTGTAGGCTCTGTTGGTGTAGGTGTTGGTGGTACAGGTGTAGGGCCAGCTTCTGTTAGTGGAAAAGACAAGGCAATACAATGAGCTTTAACATTACAGGGTGAACACTACTTACATGCTAACATACATTAGTTTTCACTTACTCTTCACCACCATAAAGTTAGAAGTTTTTCAGTGAAGTACGTAGAACTGCCTATTTTTAAAATTGAGGCTATGTGGGTTTTTTGGGCACTAAGGAAAGCTCAAATTGTTAGCTTGATCAACAACTGAGCTCGGATGGCCACTCTAGAGCTGGAAGTGTATTTACAATCGGGTATGTGACTCCCTCTGGTGTATGTTAAGACACATGAAGGTCCTGCTGGCAGCAAGTGTTGGCAGATCCGATAGGGAGATGAACAGAGAAGCTCTTGTCTCTTGGAGTTATGTTTGTGCACCATCCGGTGGCTGAATCATGTGCTAATACACCTGGAAAAATGAAGAACTGGCTCTCCCTAGCCCTCAAACAAAAGAAGGCCCCAAGTCTTGTTCATGGCATTTTAAATAAAATCATATGTTCTCAGGGTATGGACCTTAATGGAAAACTTTGTCCTGGGTAGTGTAAATTCGAAACATCCCATGTCATTAAATGAGTAGTATTTCGCAGAGAAGAAGACCTATTAAGACCAAACGACACTTTCTGTAAGTTTTTCTGCAAATTTCTTGTTCAATTCACATTTTGCAAGTATTGTGTGCTTGTCAGTAAAAGTGGATCCCAGTCACCCACAGTTTGTGCCAGTCTTGGCTGATTTGTTACGGGATCAGAGATCAAGCTCAAATTGCTGATTCGTAGTCAAAGCTGACAGTGCAACTTGGTGTTACTGACTCACTGTTATCTTTTTGTGACATATGGCTGTACTGTGTATTTGATGAGTTTGTATGAACTGATATTTGCTGTAAAGTGCTTATCAGTGTATTTAATGTGGAATCCAAACTCGGTGTGCATAGCCTGCTCTGGGTTTAGAGATGCATTTCAGACTTACAAGTGAAGTAAACTTTGCTGGACCTGGTGAAAAAGGTCACATGTGCAGAGAAAGGGGGGTAGCTTATTTTGGACATTTGAGGTGATGAGGAAAGAATTAGGAAGAAACTACAGCAAAACACATAACACTCAAACAAAGTGAGCTGTAAAGTTTTTTGCAATTTCTCTTTTGTGGTTCGAGGTTCTGAGGAGTTGCTGCATTGTATATGGAATAGAGTAATGGTCAACAGCTTAAACAGAGATGAAGAAACAGGACACACTCAGGTGCAAACACAGACTTACCACAGGATCCATCCCTCACTCTCACATTGTCCAGTGCTGTATCCCCATATTCTGTTAGTCCTCGGACAGCCTCAAAAATTACCTAGGGAGGACACAGAGCAATCACTGAATCAGAGTTGCTCAGGCAAACACAAGACTATTTCTCTTAGCATTATTTTCAAAATAAACTCTCTGGTTTGTTGCTAAAGGCATCAAGTCAGCTGAGGTTATAACAGTTTTCCTAACTTCCCTCAGAAGCCTAAAATATATATTCTGTAATAAGGTAAGGACTGCAAGAAACATTGTCCTCTCTTTTGTTGACTTCTAAATGATTTATGAGAATTAGTTGTCTGAATTCTACAGAGGAGTCCAACGTAGGCAGCATCCCTTTCAAACCTTCAAACTCATAGCCGACAAACTTACATTTAATTAAGACATCTAAAGTTCTTGATTTCATGATGAAATTAATGAGGGAAGGAAGGACAAAGAGAGAAAACTAAATTAAATTTTATCCTCTAACTAATAGCACTATTAAAACTAGGTGGTTGTTTGTTTCTCCTCTTAGTTCATTGACACAAATCATGAGGCCATTATATTCACAAAATCTTGGTTATATTTTTAGCTTACATGCACAGTATTTTGCAACCTGCAAATGGAGAACAAATACTGACACTGTACAAAGAAATTCACTTTGAAAATATATTACCTTTATCTTTCTCTGTGTTGGGAAAGTGTGAGTGATGGCACCGTAGTTCCAAAAAGAGCTCTGGTTTCCCTTCCGATGCCATATCACAGACTCCTGTGTGCCATCTTGGATAAGCACTCTCAGCTCATTCATCTCCTCTGATCCAAACATATAGTACCAGAAGTCAATGCATATTTTTTCAGAAACAACAGTCTCTGGGCTTTCCAGCCTGTTGATGTCGAACGGGATCAGATTACTTGCTTCTTGGTAGATGAAATAACCTTCTGCAAAGTGAAAAAAATTAAAATACAGTTGAATCTTCCTAATTTGTTAGATGTTGTCTAAAACTGAAGTACAATCCAAGTCTGGAAGAAATCAAGGGCGTCATTTTCAGTGCAAAGAAGCAAAGTGGAGGATGTTTGGACTTCATGTTGCAATGGTTAACCCCATATACTTATCCAAAGTAGAATGTGAGCCTGAGAGCAAAGCAAATACATTTCATCTCATATGAACACTTATTTTGGGATCACAATTAAAGATGCAGGACTCTTTCGAGATACAGCTCCTCCAGACACAGTGCCACACTGATCCAGGTTCAGTTTCTGCTTTCCTCAAAGAAAAAGAATGTAATCTGCTATACACCTCATGTGGGACAACTTTTTTTTTTTCTCTATTGATTTTGGTTTCAAGATAAGTAAATCCCTGGCACAAGGAAAAATTCCAAACTGTCAGCATTTGGTTTTGTCTCAAAATTTAAGAAATAGAAAGTAATGCTTATATTTTATTCAAAATATTTATATTTGACATTATGAAAGGAAGGAATTTTTTTAAAATTCAGAAACTTGCAATGTTTCTTTTAGGATTTGAAATGCTTTAGTCTGATTGGTTTTAGGCTTGAAGTATTTTGCTTCACGTAGACTAAGATCAAAGTTACATTTCCCCAGTGCAGCTAGAGTCAAGTTTTTCCCATCTGACTATGGAAAGGAATCAAAAATAAATGAATGATCACTTCTATATGGTAAAGTATAGGTCCACACATTCAGTCATATATTAAAGCTGGCAAGAAAATCTAAGTACTATTTAAAGTGATAAGGTCTCTGTCAATTAAAAAAGTAAAACAGTATTATTTGTGTTAATCCAAATTAAAAGCATTCAATTTCTTCTTCCAACAGGCATTTTTAATTGTTATTATAAAATACTAAAAATTCAGAAAATTATTTAGCAAAAATCCGAACTAATACCATTCTAATCCACTTGCTGACTCTGACAGTAGCTGACCTTTCATTCTTGGGATAATTACAAGCAGGATGACTGCAAACTGATCCTCATAAATGGATATTCTAGTGCAAGGATAGTGGTTCAAGCACATAGAGATGGAGCCATGGAGCATTTGTTTGATAATATGACCATGTTAGACTCCAGTTTTAAAATCATAGGTAGCTGAGGACAGACTTTTAAAATATATTCTTTAATTTCAGACTTGATTTTGTAACACTTTTCCAGCATGAACTTTATCTAGAGCCAGCACAATGATCATTAAATTTGTTGCCATTAACTGATATCAGTGTAATTTGGCCACAAACCTTGTCTTGAAAAATGGTCTGTCACATGGCACCACATTCTCTATTAGGTCTTAACATGATATAATTAGCTTCCTTCTACTTCCATGCACTGATAAAGATATCCAATCTATGATAGGCAACCCAATTTAATTTACTCCTAACTGATATGGTGAAAAGTCATAAACAGGTGTCAGCATGAAACGAAACCAACACATTTCAAGATCTTTAAGAATCTCTTTTTTCTTCCAAAAAAATGATAAAGGTAAGTCAAGCTTTCTTAAAAAAAAAAAAAAAAACCAAACCAAAAACCAAACAGCCATGCCACAACCAAGCACTTACTTCCATCAGGATAGTCTCCATCAGGACCTGTTCCATCAGTCGGAGTGTCATGCTTTGTCCGTATCCACACTCCCTGGTTGATACTGCAGGGCTGGGTCCAGTCACAAAATGGTCTTGAGTTATTGTTGAAATCACATCTGGTGAGGTAAGCTGAAATACAACACATTAAAGTGAGGAAGAGGAGCTAGTATGTTCAAAATTGGATGTTAACACCACTAATGACATGCAGTTACCTGTTTCAGGATCCCATGTTCTCAAACCACCAGTTGGCCTTTGCTTGATCCTGCCAAGAAAAGCAACAGAGTGAAGCCCTTGTAGAATTAATGACTAAAAAACTGTTCAAGAAAGCATACTGGGACCTCAACTTTTGCCTTTGGGTGTTTCACTGAATAACTGAATAGACCCTGAGTTTGATCCATATCTGACTTTCTCTTCCCATATGGAACTTCTTCCTGACAAAGCTCTGAGAGTGAGTCAAAGGTGGGATATGTTCACTTCATCTAGTGTGGAAGGATTCTCTGCTCTGTATCCCACTGAACTGAAATGAGAGAAGTTCTACTAGGTACAGGGAGCTATGGAAGAGATGGATGGATATAGCACAGCTCAGACAATATCAGGATAATATCAAACATTTTTCTATTAACTTGCTCATGTCATTATTATCCCCACTGTTTCAAAGCAAAGTGTGTAAATGCCAGTAAGATAGTGTACTGTGTAAGTGTAATTTGCTGGAAGGCTACATATTTCCTTTAACTGCTGCAAATCTCCCATGACACAAAACTTTCATTTCATTCAGCTCTTCTGATTTACCCTGAAAATGCTGCAAAAAAAAGAGAAAGCAGTTACAAATGCACAGTCCTTGTGTGCTACAAAGTCCTGCAGAGATAAGTTGACACAAGGCCAAAATTCCACCACATATCACAGAATAAATGGTTTTGCTTTTGGGGTGTTTTGCATAGGGAAGGGATTTCCATGACTGCAGGGCTACAACAGTGGCTCTTGACATACTCTGACTGTGGTGCATAATTTCAGGTGGCAGGTTTCAGTTCCAAATTCTGTGGTGCCCTCTCCTTAATTATTCTTACTGTACTTGACACAGTCTAGAGACTCTGTCCTTAAGCGAATGCATCACAATGAGTGTCCACACTGCTCAAAATCCAAGCAATGACATTCAGAAAACTAGGGACATCAGGAGCAAATATCACAATGAATTCATCATGAAATGATGCAATGAAATGCAGCAAGCAACTCCAAAACAGACTGAGCTAGAAGATAAAGAGGAAAAAGAATATGTAAAAACAGATAAAATAAGAAAGTTTTCTTCATTGTTCTTCTTGGATTTCTTCTACCATGAGAAAGGGAAAGCTGAGGGAAGTTTCCACTTGGTCTCTATTCAGTGTTATCTTTAAACTGTTACACATTATGCAAGTCCTAAGCCACGGATTACTATCAGTATATTCAGAGTCAAAGAGTTTTGTAATGACTGTGGTTATTTTGTCCAGATCTCTCCTCTTCAGATGTGCCATTAGAAATCCATGTTACAGGTTTCTCTCTCAGACAGGAGCCAGTGTAGAATTAGGCAACCACAAAATTCAATTATTTCTTTTTTAAAATGACGTGGTTCAACTGTATAACATTCCACATTTAAAAAGTGAAGAAACATTCCACATTTTAAAAGCAAAGAAAGGATATTTATCATTAACAGCTAAGCTTCCTCAATTAGGCTATATTCATTGCTGGACTACTTACCCTGTGGTATTCAGCACTGAAATACAGAGTAAAATTAGAGTGTATTGAAAATGCCAAAGAGTCCCCATGCTAGAACACAGAGTAAAGTCTTCTCTGTGGTATGGTTTGCATAGTAATCCACCAGCTGTACTCAGCAAGGAGAAAATGAGGACGACCTATGGTGAAACGTATAAATATATCGACAAGAGGGTGGAGGCGATTATAAAAATCTGTCCAACCCTGTATCATGTTCCCTGTGTTATCTACCCTGAGAAAAACACCTATGAACTGAATACTCATATTCTGTGTCACTTGTTTTGTCACCCTTAGCTGCTTGCTGGAGAAATTGATGTGATTTTGGCAATTTTTGTTGCTGTTGTTTTATATTAAAGAAGCATGTAGTTTTAAAGGGATTTTTTTCTGACATAGATAGCAAGACAAATTATTTCATTTTAAAACTCCTGCCCAGCTTCCACTACCAGTATAAGTGAGATTTCTCATTTTGACTGAATTTGCTCCCTTTCTGAAACTAACATTAAGCAGAGCAGATAACAAGACTTCAATTTACTCACAACATTTAAGTTTTCATGGGCACAATTCAGGAAATTGCTGAAATATTACTGATACCACATTTTCCCTGCTAAAAAATAAAGGACCATTTTCTGGGCTTCCATGAAGTCTGTTGGTTGCTGACAGCCCAGCAGAAGCAGGTGGATCCCCCCCCACACTGTCACCTGGACTTCTACTGTTCTGGTGTTTTTCAGCATTCCTTGAACTGGGGTCTGAAAAAAAAATATGGCTCAAAGGCAGACAAGTTCCCTACTTCACTTGGATTTCATGGCTGATGAGAATCAAAAGAGTGTCAGAAAGTGTACAGCATTTCCTTGCACTGCCTGGAAACCCCAGACAATGGCTCTTTTTCTTTTTTTTTTTTTTTTTAATAATATTCTGATGATAAAGATAATTAAACCTTCATAAATTAATCCTGGAATTTCTTCAATTCCCTTTCACTCTGCTCATGAACAAGTAACTAAGGAGGCTATGTACAGAAACAAGAGAAACAGGGACAGATCAATGGAGGCTAAGCAGAAACACAAAAATATTTCAAGTTAGATGTTAGCTGATGTGTTGACAATGAGCCTGGGGCTGCATTCTGCCACAAGCTCATGCTCTACACAAGCCTTTGCAAAAGCAAGAGGGTACATGCTCACTTGACTAACAATAATCCCTCTCCAGTGTAAATCCTTTCCTAGGAAGATATGTGTACTTTTGCCAGCCAGTAAACAGGGAAGAGAATTCCTGTGATTTCAAGACAAAATATTAATTCCCTGCACAAAACCATTGACCACAATTTTCCAGTTCAGTTGAGAAGAGCTTAATGTGAGGGGGAGAATACAAGTGACCATCAGTTACAAGTTTCATTGACACACTGCATTTTCATCAGGGCTGTTGAGGTGATGGTCAGCAAGTGTTAATCTGGGCAATAGCTGTCCATAGCATTGTAATGGAGAGCAAGGAGCCCTCCATGTATGCACACACTTTCCTTCTGCAGACTAGGGATATTTCATTAATTTGGTGCTGCTCTGTATCATTCTGACAAGAAGTTGTGAATCCATCTTGGGAAGAAAGAAGCCCTCTGTTAAGTTCATCCATCCATTCATCCATTCACATGATGCACTGTCTTTGACCTCTCCTCACCCAAAGCAAATGTGAGGCCCTGCAGCACCACAAACACTCCTTCAGCCATGCTGTGGGACCTTTTCTGTGACTTTGTCACTCCTGTTTAATGGCATCTCAGGCACTCTGTGAAAAGTGAACTGGAGTACTCATTAAAGCTTTTCAGGGAGGTGCAAAATTAATAACCTCTTTTCCATATAGGAAGGATGACAAGGAAATGACTTGCCATCTGATTCCAGTGGGATGTGACAGTATCTCCCATTTCTGACAGTCAAACCGATCACTTTGTCCCAAGCAAGACAACTCAAAAAATGAAAGAAGCAAACTCAGCAGTTCACCCATTCTACTGAGTGCTGTCTAGTGCAACTCACTGCACAGTTACATGTAATTGTCCTAAAGTACCTAAATCTGGTTCCTCCATTTTCTTGAATACGAGTGTTCTCCAATGAACAGCAGTTGCAATTCACTGTGTGGCTAATGCTCAGCCTATGGTGCTGAAATCAGTCAAGAGCTAGAAATCTTGAAAAGCTTAAAGGATAGGGAAAATATATAAAGCTTCTTTCTCCTAAGCCTTCAAGAGACTGCTACACTGCCACCTAGCACAAAGCAGAGAGGTCGCTGGCTGATATGAAGTGCTGGTATCTTGTTGGGATGCACTTGCAGCACATGTATATCCCAGTCTATTCTTTCTGAGACTATATCTAGAAGAAATTTTAAATGAATTAACTAAATGGTTGTTCTTAAATGGTAGAATTCTGTGCAGGATCTCTTAATTTAGAGTACATTAGGTTCTGTAAATTTGCACATAAAAACTAAACATCTTTATCTGATTTTCCTACAGTATGATTGTATCTCACTGGGTGTTGCACAGGTTTAATGGCAATGTTTTTTTGCATCCAATTCAGTTAAATTTATACAATTTGTGTGAGCAAAAGGATCTCTCTGTTGTTTCTATTCAGGTAATAATTTCTTCCTCTATCCTGACAAATGACCAAGTCAGTTTTTGCAGCATGTTATACCTCTGTCACTCTGGAACTCCCAGTGACCTTTGGCTCCACTCTGCCTTTACTGACATTGTGGGTGAGAAGGCACTGACAGATCTGCCATTTCTTCAGCAATTTCTCTATGTTGGACTCTTGTTGGAGCTACACTCAAGTCACTGCTCTGATAAACATTCACCAAGGAGTTATGAAACAAACAATCAGCACCCATAAATCTATAATCAGATATATTTAGATTACACAGGAGTGTAAGTAATCCCACTTTTGCTCTGTTGAGTAACATGCTTTGATGGACTGATAGGACACAAAAAATGTCTTATAAATGGATGTTTCTCTGATGAGTAAAGTCTTTGTGTTCTGCTGAGCACAGGTTGAGGTTGGTTTTTTTAACTGATGGCTCTCCAAATTGAAGCTTCAATTCGAAATTCAAGCTCTCTCATTCCTGGTCTGAAAGCTGTAATAATTTTCAAAGTGAAATGTAGCATTCTTATTAGAGTATAGGTGCCAGATTTAAATTTCATTATCTTTCTTATGTTTTGAACAAAGCAGAGATAATAGAAATAAAAATATAGCAGCTTTTCTATTACTTTTTCAGTTGTCAACTGCCTATGGACAAAATTCCTGAGGGAAAATAGCACTCTTATACTCTTATACTTTTTTGTCTTTGACCTGAAGTACACCCCAATGTATTTTGTTTCTAGCATACAAAGATAAAGACCAAAATATTCCTCCCAATTAATGCAATAAAGACGTTTGGCTGGCATTCCAATGGATATTTGAATAAAGAAAAGACCATCATAAGTAAAACTACTTTCTTCTTCATTTCGGGGTGCTGCACCTATAATCGTGAGATTAATAAATCAGTTCATAAAAGCCC